TTCGCAAAGTATTCTAGAATCTGACAACGCACTAGAACGAAGACAAATCTAGAGATTTAAACAACTTTTAAATGCTAAGTGCAGCACTGTCTAAAAAGGTTCGGTTACTTGGTTTCTATAAATAAGATAAGTCGAAATTAAAACTTAAGAGTAAATGTCTTAAATGCTTTTAAATAAATTCATGATAAGATCAGGCAACAAATATCATAAATTGAACGTTGAAATAACTAGCCGATACGGTTTTAATTATTTTTTTTAGGTATTTAATGATGAATTCAAGTCTTGGGAATGTCGTTCTTCGAACAACAAAGTCGGTTCCTGTACTCTTCCCGATGATGTACATAATCTACAACAAGCGGGATAACTATCCACGTATAATAATAACAATATAACAATGTGAAACTAAGCGTCGACCAGAGAAAAAAAAATTAGGACAAACATTCAATAGCTAATCAAGAATAATTGTGTTGTAATAACAACAGCGGAGGGTCGCCGCGATGCCATTGTGTGGTAACCAGAGCCGCGGCAACCCTTCGCCCGCCGCCCGCCAGCCGCCAGCCGCCAGCCACCGCCCGGCGTCCCCGGCGGCCCGGGGGAGGACGTGTGAAAGAAAACATATTGGGCCTGCTTTTGACGGCTCCCCGTATATTGTTTTACGCTCTCTGCGTATGAATGACTTGTATGTACTCCAATTGATTTTTATTTGATGCATTTAATCAAAATGCCCTCGACTGTTTGCTTTGTTTGTTGTTTTAAAGATTTGTAAAGTATGTTTTTGACATTTACTAAAGGGTTCCCTAAGCAAATACTCGATTTGAGAGTCAATTACTCACAAGGATTTTCTTTATTTTAAAAACAAACAGTTGGGACTGAAAAAGAGCTTTAAATGTCACTAACATGAATATAATTAAGGGTTGAATAAATTACAAAGTAAATAATTATTAGTAAAGGTGTAATGGTGTGACAGAGCGGACGCGCGAGGAGAGGACGCCGCAAAAAGTGCAGCAAAGCTCTCGTTAACTAAACGCATTCTATAGGACGCGGCGCGGCGTCCTGCGGCGTCCCGCGGCGTCCTACGGGGAAGGATTGTTGCGCCCGATTCATTCCTTCTATTTGTCTGACTGCGTTTTTCCAGTCATAAATGAATCCGAGCACCACCCGGTGCTTTTTTATCGTTCATAACTATTATTGGTGTCAAATTGACTATAACTCGTGCAAACAGTAAAGAGTCGTGTCATAGACAAGCTTGTAGCATTGTCTTAGTTTACATATGAATAATTTTTAATACGTTAACTAAGTCTGCAACTTGCAAGGCACGTAGAGACGTTGGTCGCTAGTGCAAATGCTTAATAAGTTAGTAGAAGTGTTGGAGTTTCAGACGCGGCGCAGACTGACATTGCGCCTGACTATTAATTCAAACTTAAAGTAGATATGCATACGATGGCTAACACACATCATTAGTAATGCGATGTAACGGAACGGGAGGGTATAAATAATTCAGGAACCGTAACGCACGGTCAAGCGCTCGCCGGGCGCTTCCTACAGGGTTTCCGGCGACGTCTAATTGAATCTTTAATACTATTTTTATTGTGTTGTTATTTAAATGAGATCGTCTGCGGATTGCGGGTGACGCTATTAGCTAAGGGACGCTTAATTACTTACAATCTGTGCTGACTATTCTCACTTCCAGAGATTTCAGTTTCCGCAATTTTACACTGCAGTGAGTCTAATGGATGTCAAAACAATATTGAATAATTCTAATAAACATATTTCACATCAGTCATTACAATTTATGATATATATATTTCTGGAAGTGTCATCAAATTTATAATTTAGTTGAACAGTAAAATAACAATCAAATAATAGTCATGAGTATTGGAAATAACAATAAAATCGAACACCAAGAAACTATCTCACGATGAATGAAAGCTATATCAATAGAGTACTCAATTTAGAGAATAACAGTTTATTGGTGAACAGTAAAAAGCTTGGCTTCCCTCCAGCGGACGTTTTAGCTGGCGTAGTTGTGGCAGGAGCGGAAACCAGCTCGCAGCGGACTGCGGCGAGGACTATTTACTGAATCCAAGAACAAAACGCCGGAGCACATATTAAAAGTAGTCGCGTCCGTCAATAGAGCGCGGCGACGACGGGACTCAATGGGCTTTTTACGGAGCTCTCTTTGTGGGCGGCTTAAAGGGTTTCGCGACAATGCGGCCTCGGCTTAATTAACCGGAGCTTAAAGCTTAATTGTAAGTGCAGTTAAGCCGGGGAACACGTGTCGGGGCCGCGCCCGCTGCTCCGGCATTCATATTGAAATTTTCAACATCTTTGATTCTGGTACACATTGTAAGGATCAGCCGGATTGTGGTAAGACTTACGCAGCGCTTTCTAACGGTCATATTTCTCTTTCATTCACATCACGCTTAGGAACATCGATATTGTTTATTTATTCAAATAAAACTTTATAATTTAAATTTAATTGATTGATATAATTTAATATTTTAACAATCAATATTATGTAAATATTTAAACATCTCATATGTAGTTGTCTTATGTGTAAGTGTTAAATATACATGAATACATAATCACTTAACAACAGTTGACTCATCGTTATTACAAGCATACCATAGCATGGAAAGACGAAGCTAAATGCAATTGTTAAAGTAGTTTAAGCATATCGACAATCAGCACAAAACGCAGTGGCTCGTAATCGAGTCTGACGGTCGGGTTTTGTAGCAATGCGTGGTACTGCAGGCTGCTAGTGCGAGCGGCAAACATTCCGCATTTATCTGACCGACACAGGCGCCGCAACGCGCTCAGCCGCGCTCGCCCTCGCCTAAACCTTCTTTATTAATCCTTATTTACAACCGCGAGCAATTTACAGGAAAACCAAACAACAATTACTGCACAAAAACAAATAAGAGGAAAAATCATTAGGGGAGCGCGCCGAGGGGATGATTACAAAGGAAAACACGGCGCGGTGGAGTGGCGCGGTCATTATTTGCCGATTGCCGGCGGCCGGGTAGCGGGTTCGACAATGCGCCCGTGAGATTACTCCTGTCGCCTGTCAGCCTGACGTCACGCCTAGGCTGCGGGGGCGGGGAGCGGGGTGCGGAGCGCTGTTTGGACAACCACCGTCGTGTCAACAAGAGGTGCGGTCACTAACACCTCGCCTGTGAACCTTTCTTATTAACTACAGCTACACGACTTAGAAACTGTGAATACATCCTGGCCTAGATAAATGGTTACCACAATCTATTGTGTCTGCCAGACCAATTTCTTTAAAACAATTATTCTTAGACATGTAAAGTAAAAAGAATTGTACTTATGAAAAGCGTATCGAAGTTCAATATACATAAAACTTAATCCCATAAATAATAAACCCCTCGAATACAAACTTGGTCTAATTACAATCGATGCTATTGAACGGTAAATAGTAATTTAAAACTGCGAAATGAAAGCCAAAGCTGTATTCGTTCACCGCACAATGGAGGAACTCTTTACCGTTACCAAAGAGGGTAGGCAGGGTCTAAGCGAGGGCGGAGGGCGAGACAAAAGGCGAAATCTATGAGAGGTGTCGGGTTGCACGCGCTGCTTCATACACCATACAAACCTGCCATTGAATACGAATGAATGCAATATAAGAACGGTAAACGGTTTAGCAAACGTTGCCAGTTATAGTACCTTTAAGGTAACTAACAATTTATCCAAATTTCGAAATGTATAAAATTATCAACGGTTGTTCTCTGATTCGAAATTCAAGACATATAACATGACTTCAATATATTCGTATATAAAAATATAAATTGTATGTTTGTCCTTACTTCTTACGTAGGTATACTAAGTTATTCGTTTAAGCCTGTGTACATTATAGTACCTATTCTGGGAAGGCAGTAAGTTGAGGAGAGTCATTTAGTCAGCGCGGAGATGCACTCGATTGGTATCAATCCGAGGCGTGCTGGTGATTATGCAAATGCGACGCCGCGCAAATTGCCCGCTTCCATAAAAACATTGACATTTAAAGGTTATGTTAAGTGCTACAGACACACAGACAGACACAGTATCAACGGGTCAATGACACCTTTGAACGATTGCCAAAGTGTTTACAATAAGGAATACGTCTTTCATTTGTTTAGGTATAAAGAATTCACAATATAACGTGTAAAGGCCTTTTAAATGTGGCCATAGATAAAAAATTAACGCGTTAATCATTATATTACTTTCAGCAAACATTTTCATAAAAATATTTCCAATAGTCAAGAAACAAAACTCCTAAAACGTCGCACATCAAAACAAAATCTAACAAATGTGCGAATCTTTAAAACAATATAAATAAATATAAGTTACAAGGAGATATACAAAGAGGTTGTCGCGTAAAAGCAAAACAGAGTTAAACATATAAAAATAAAGTTTGTTCAATATCTGGGGAAGTTTGCAAAGAGATGATTGAAACAAAGACGGTAGGAGCGAGCACGTCGCCTCGCCTCGCCTCGCCTCGCCCTAAGTGTATTAAACCGCACAAACTTTCCTAAAAAGTGAAAGGAGACAAAGTGAAATAATATAAATACTTTCAATAATAAAAACTTGATATCGGCACAAGTTTTGTTTTAACGTGTGGTGCAAGTCACAAGCGAATTTATTAACACAATTCTTAATCCTTATAATATAAAGATTCTCGACTATTTCTGTTGACTTTTATCATAAATAAATGGTTTATATTTGATTGTGATAGATGTTTTATTATAATTACACTCAAATTTAACATTTAAACACAATTAAAGTAATTCAATAAAAATAAATTTCACCATTGCAAGCACAATTTCGACTATGTATAAAATATTAGCTGTCGCCCGATAATCTGTCGGCGGGAAATTAAATAAAACTTAGTATGCGTATGTATGCCTATGAATTCTTCCAGTCTATGTTCTACAACTGTGCCAAATATCTAACAAGCATCAATACATCAATGCAATCGCTAACGCTTGTAATTTGTTCGGCAGGTTAAGAACACGAGACGAGACATTTTAGATGTAAGATAATGAGAAAGAATTGAGAGACGGGAATGGAAATGAAACTGTACCAGAACTGAGGCGCGAAGAAACAATCGTAAAGAACAAATATACTTAGTGATATGTAATACACAAGATTTTATCTTTAAATATACATAGATGTAAATTAAATGAGAATCTGAAATTATCTGAAAATACTTTTAAGATGAAAGAAAAAGTTGGCAAGACAAAGTTTGTCTAAAGAGACAATCTCCAACAGAAATCAATCTGACACAAGCAGGTGACGGTCTGACGGCCGGCCGGGGATCTGACAATTTTCGGCGAGTCCGCTTGTATCTTTTATTTATTTCCGATTCTTTTGTCGCCTTCGGAATGTAAATTAATAACTGTCAGTAGGTGACAGGAGTCGCGCCTGTCACCCGCTCCCTGCCTGTCTGCCTGACTTTCTTCAACTTATCAAAGTATATTTTGTCTACCACCGATATTACTTTTAGAGTGGTGTTCAATTGATTTTATTTGTTATTTTATGTCAAAAATTCACAAAACTGTTTTAAAATTATGACAAATTGCTGTTCTAAACTTATATTTTTATTTCAGATTGTTGAAGACCGTCTATCCTATAATATATATTCATTTAGCTTCATATTGAATTATCTTTAACTAACTGAGAATCGTATCCTTTACATTCGCTTTAGCTCAAAGAAAACAAGACGGCGTAAATTTCATTGCTATCTTAAGATATTTTCGACGCCGCGTCTTCAATGGGGCTGTTATCGGTCACACGATTTTTTACAAGATCGCTTATCTGTCACTACATTAATTACGGCGCTATCACCTGAGGCCCCCCCCACACACCCCCGCTCCCCTCACCCCGCGTCCAGGCTCGGGAATCATAAATGTAATTATTTTTACCAATAAAGAATGTTTCCTAATAGAATTAAAATGCGTTAGATTTACCTAAGAATGTTTAAAATAGTAAAGATCATGTGGAAAGAAAAAAACAAAATAGAATTTATTTTTAAAACAATTTTAATAATGACTGAATAAAGTGTTTATTGAAGGAGAAATGGGCGTAAACAAGAAAGATGGAATTAATGAACGCGAAGTATATCCGGCAAAGCTAACATTGGTAGTCGCGCTTACCGCGAGCCACCCCGGGAGCCACCCTTTAAGAATTCCGACTAATAGAATGCGGATAGACAGACAGACAATCCATCACGGTTCCCCTACCGATGTATTATTTATGGGGACATCCTGCACCAACCCACGGCTAATCTTTCAATATCTTGAGAATTTTGGTAACATCTAGCATGGGGACGAGCGCCAACTTGCAAACTATAATGCATTAACAAGACGTCTTAATTCTATTGACATAAAGTTCTGTTTCGCAAATCCCTAAGCATTCATCAAATATTTTGCTGCTGGAGCAAAATAAGGAGACATTCCTTTACTGAGTACAGCTACCGAAGACGTTATGTCGTGGTAATAGAGATGATTTTTAATCGCTTCAAAGGCAAAACAAATGTAATTCGTTCAATGTAATTGTAGGATTTGTTTGTTTTTGTGCAGAATGAGAGAAATGGCATGAAATTAATGATGCTTCCTTAATGAATTTTTGTTAAGAGACCCGTTTGTTGTAATAAGATTTGTTATTATTACTAATTATTAAATCTAACAAATGTAATGTGAATTATATTCATTTGTTTTGACGAAAATATGACGAATAATTTGTAAGTACTTGAGAACAAGTAGCACCAAACAGTCCTCTCAAATATGAATGTTTCGAGTCGTAGTCAAATAATTTATATTTAAACTAATGATGCAACTAAGAGGAATCAAAGCGTTCGCCGGCTGTTTCTATAAATACCTCACTTAGAGGCGGGAGACGAGGAAAAAATATATTTTCGAGTTCGTAGGCGAGAGGGTCGCCAGAATAGATCCCTCGGGAACTCCTCGCAACCGGAGTTGGTTAGTTTCACATACTCGTGTTCCTGAGGATCGACTGTCCGCTTTCTTTTCTATTTGTAAAGTATTATATTTCAACACTATTTTCTAAACTTAAACTGAATCATTTTCAAATAATTTACTGAGAATTATGTAGCGGTTTTGTGTTTGACCATATTTTTAAATAACTACTTTGTTTGTAATATCCTCAGATCTTTTCTTCCTTCAGAATAATGCATCAAAAATGTGTTTTGTTTCTCTTTTGAAATGAAGATAAGTATGTCTACAACAGTTTCCTTATACATGTATGTATTCATTGATTGTAACTAACTAAAATATTAAAAAGAACGGATGCATAAATAAATAAATCAAATCGATCAGTGATGAGGGAACATAAGAGAAAGAGAGAGAGAGCAATAACAATGCTTCTGGCTATATATTAATTAGAAAAGCAAAAGAGTGTTGGCTCCGAGCTGAACAAATCATTGAGGAATTCTTTAATTTAAAAATGGCGGCACATGATCCGGCCGATGCAAATGACGCGGCGCGCGCGCAACTCATTACGAGCCTCATAACGAGGTCTTAAATCAACCGCGCGCCCGCGGCCATTGTCTACCCTCTCTCCCCTCCCGCCCGCTCTGTCCCCCCGGGACCAGCTTTCCGATTGTAATATCGATTCTTCTTAATAATAAAAAGCGATTATCTCCGACGATAGAATTAGATTTGAAGCCGCTAATGTATTCAGCTTTATTAACATTCCAGTGTGAGTGATGAACTGGAGATGCATCGAGTCTTGGATTACTTTACTGGATTATATCTGTTATCCCAATTTTACACTTACTTCCAATTTTGCAGACGAGTCAAAGATATTTCATGCGTTACCAATTGAGTACAATATTGCAATATTGAAGAGATAAAAGGATACATCGTTATTATGCCAACGTCATATCACCTGTAACACCTTGCAGATGTCACTACAGTATATCTGTTATCTTAATGAACAATAAACAAAATAATAAACCGTATGGATTGTTTGTCTGTAAATCAATCAAAATATATATTTTTGGAAAGTTGTATTTCAAGAGAATTTATGTCGACGACCGAAAACAACGAGATCTCAACAAAAAACATATTTACTCTTTAAAACTTGTTTACCGACACAATTGCGTGTTTTCTCTTCGATCGATGATCACAATACGGACTTTAATCAGTCAAAAACAGAATTGAATTTGCCATCGCGTGCGCCTGTGACCCAGAATGCGCAGCGTCGCTGCCAAGTTGTGCCAAGATGTGGCTCTCGATGCCAGGGGATGTGTCGCAATTAGCCGGGCTAATGGCGGCCGCGGCCCGGTCCGCGCGACCTCCGACTCCCCGCAACAAATGTCAAGAACAACAACAACGGCAATACAAGCTAAGCCCACTACACTCAGAGCGGCCAGAGCTGGTTTCATTGCCTCACTACTTGAGGTATAATATACACAAAATACTATCGACAGCTTTTTTAACTAGATAGATTCACAAACTCTATTGCGTTAACTTTCGATTGTTACAGTTTATTAACGCGATCGAATCGGTAAGCATGATGTGAAAAACACGGCCTAGGCAATCTAAACCAAATTTCTGTTTAGTAAAGTATATGAATTCGATTTGCGTTCGATGTAACTAAATTGATGGCCGTTTAAGAAAACAATTGAAATCGGACGGTACGTTCAACTCGGTGCGTCGCTACGGCGCTGTGGCGGGTTGGCAGGAGGCCTAATCGACGGGTGTCGCTCGAATATATCTCGCGGGCCGTCATCGGGGCCCATTCCTCGGACTCCGGCGCCCGCTGACTGACGGGGTGGTGGCGGCCTCCGCACTGACAAATTGTCGCCCGCCCGACGTCACCTGTGTCGCTCACTCATTCACTCGCCGACTGAATGAAGCTCGTGCTCCCGGTCACCTGCGTCATTCACTCGTCGAGTGGTGTTATTTCCTGTCGCGTGTCTTCTGCTTCGTGTCTCGTCGATTCATCGAATACCAGTCACTTCGGAAGCTGTCATATGTACTCAAATGACAGACATCATTGTGTGTGTGTGTGTGTTTGAATGTCAACGACAGTCTTTTGTTTTTCGCATGAGGTTAATGAACTTGTCGGATAGGAATGACGTGTTCCTTTCTATGACGCTACTAACCCACGTCAATATTTACAATGTAATTAAGTGCAAAAAGGACAATGCAGTTGATACATGAGCATTGGGACACAAAAGCGTCGATGTTGAAGGTACGAGGGAGGTATGATGGGCCCGGGGGTGTCGGTGGAGGGAGCGGGGAATGCCTAGCTAACGAGGCAGCAGAAGTAACACGACTCCGCAACCGATACGTTCATTAAAGTAACGACAAAGCAGTCGCTTCTCTCCCACTTTAAGTTTGCTTACGTAAACCTTAACGAATATTGAGTATCATAAAATGCATTTTCCATATTGTGATTAGTTCTCATGTTAAATTAGAAGCATTATATTAACACTTGCAATAAACTACTTTAGCGCATTTTTAAATGACTCAAAACTCATAATTTATACAAATCATAAAACAAAGGACGACAATAAAAATCTAGAAACATCCAGGGACTTTTATTAGTGCTGTCGAAACGGTTTTTACATTCTCATCACAATCGATTATTGGATATCTAAGAGGGAAAAACCTCGTCTGGTGATGAAGCACCGGCCGGGATAAGCGGACTGCAACTTAATACGGCGAAGGAAAAAGTCGCCAAATTCACACACCGACGGAGCGAACTGTTTTTACGCAGTTAGCGCTTCAAACAAGTCATAAAACGTGCCACTGGACCGAAGCGCGCTGTTTGCTGCTTGATAACACTGGGCCCGTACAATTATTATACTCTGACAAAAACAGTAGCATATGTAAGAATCTATATACAGCTGATTTAGGTTAATAACAGAAGAGCAGCAGTTAAGCAACCTAAAAACAATTGAAGGCAATGCCAGTGCGATAAGCGATATGTTTTTACGCATAAGCTCTTACTCTTGTCGCGTAATGTGAGGTCGCCTGGCTTGAAATTCCAATTGCATGGAATACAACTACATTTACATAAATGACTACACAAAATATTCCATCTCCTCAGTTTTAATGGTTCATGTTGCGAGCATCGCG